GACGGACCACTCTGTACAACTATTTAACTACATATGTATATGTACACTGAAGTTGAAATGTGATCCAAATAAAAAAAATTCAAAATAAAATTCAAAGGACATCAGTGTTAGCAAAACAGCATATTGTTTATACACATGATATTGATTTTCTGTTGTATTTATTTGAAGTAATCAGGTGACATTACTTTTTAATTCTCAGACCCTGTCTGTCTGTCTGTCTGTCTGTCTGTCTGTCTGTGTGTCTGTCTGTGTGTCTGTGTGTCTGTGTGTCTGTGTGTCTGTCTGTCTGTCTGTCTGTCTGTCTGTGTGTCTGTCTGTGTGTCTGTCTGTGTGTGTGTCTGTCTGTGTGTGTGTCTGTCTGGGTCCTCTGNTTTGAATATTTTATTTAAGGATCTATACTGTCAATGTTTTATATTGTAAAGAAAACACCCCATGTTCTTGTGTGCTTATTGTTGTTGTCTTTTCAAGAAAAAGAAAGAAAGACGGACCACTCTGTACAACTATTTAACTACATATGTATATGTACACTGAAGTTGAAATGTGATCCAAATAAAAAAAAATTCAAAATAAAATTCAAAGGACATCAGTGTTAGCAAAACAGCATATTGTTTTGATGATAAGAGGTATTGTGTTGTTGTGCAATATGTTTTCCACTGTAAGAAATCAAGTAGTAGATTAAAGATATGAGCATATTAGTAGATAATATACAACATACACATGATATTGATTTTCTGTTGTATTTATTTGAATTTGAGGTAATCAGGTGACATTACTTTTTAATACTCAGACCCTGTCTCTCTGTCTGTGTGTGTGTGTGTGTGTGTGTGTGTGTGTGTGTGTGTGTGTGTGTGTGTGTGTGTGTGTAGTACCTCATCTCGGAGTTTGCGGATGAGCTCGGTGTCGTTGTGGTGCGTTTTGATGACCTGCGCCTTCCCGCTGGCGAGATGAGAAGCGCTCTCGATGAGATCCGGCCGCAGGGTACCCTGGGCCAGGAAGACCTCCTCTGGCTTCAGATTCATCTCTCCGATCACTTCATTGGCAACCTGGGGCAACACGAAGCAAAGAGTCAGACACTACAGGGACCTGGTAAACTAAAAACATTTAAGCAGCCATATTGGCAAGAGACGGCCAGCCAGCAGGTTCATAAATCATAAAATATGATAATAGCATCTTTAATACTTTTGTAGAGGGTCGATTGAAACGAGTACTCACTTTGACAAATGTATCTCCGATAATCTTTCTTTTCTCTTCAGGGTTGGTAGTCATATTCAGAGTCTTGCTGATACGTTTTCGTGGCGTCCGGTCCTCCTCAGAGATGGGGAGGGTTGTCGTTCCGTTGTAGAAGGTGTGAGCAGCGTTTACCACTAAATAAAGAAATATTTTAGAAGACACATTTGGGTTATGAGCAACAATAATAAATATTATACAAAACTTCAGTATACTGTGATATTCAAAGTTGCCACGGTCGTAGTCATATAAGCCATAACATGTGAAGGAATGCGTCACATTTAGAAAGGTATGGCTTATTGTAAGTCGATTTGAATAAAAGCATCAGCTAAATGTAATGTTATGTAATACTGAATATCAACTGCTATCACATGGAAGTACACACAGAGAGATGTACTCCGCTGACTTGAAGCTCTTATTGTAGCATCCCGGCGTCATTTAGAACTTTGTCCCCATGTGAATCTGTACCTTTGAGTTTGATGCCCAGCTTGGTGAGGGCCTCCTCCACGCTCTGACTCTCCCTCTTCCTCATGAAGCCGTTGTCGATGTGAACTGCGATCACCTGCTCCTGGTCCAGAGCTTTGTTCAGGAGAGCTGTGCAAACTGTCGAGTCGACCCCACCGCTCAGCAGCACCTGAATAAATCATCAGACACAGTCAGGAACTACTCAGCAAGCTACATTTGTGACCTGTCTGGATAATCATTGAACGTATAAAATGCTCCGTTCCACAACATGGCATAATAACTACAAAGAGAAGCATGTATCCCTCAGACTGTAGTTCAACAAGAAACAGATTTTTATGTAATACAAGTCTTACTTTGAGGGTTTTTCTTACACTCATTTCTCCTCATCACATCCCCCTGAGATGCAGCCTAGTTTGAAGCCACTTCAGGGAGTCCACTTCCTCTTTCCAGTTAAAAAATTGTTTAATTTGAGTTTAATTGGTTCTACTTTACTTCCCACCGCTGCTGCTGCTGCTGCTGCTGTCACCACTTCACATGCAGCAACCCAGCTTCAGACTTTTAGGTTAATATTCTATAGGATTAGAAAATGTGTTCTTCTGTGTTCTGCTGTTCTCTCCGTCATAAAAAATGGTTTGGATAACAAACACACAAATCAGGAAACATTACGATTTTTTACTCACCAGCACTTTAGATTTGCCCACTTTCTCTTTGATGTCGTTGATGCAAACTTCTTGGCGGTTTTGTACGGTAAAGTTACTCGTGCATCCTGCGATCTCAAACAGGAAGTTACGGAGCATTTCGATGCCTCTCTCCGTCAAGTCGACCTCAGGGTGAAACTGTGTCCCGTACAGCTTCTTCTGTTCGTTAGCAATCCCTGGTGGGGAAAACAGATGTGCCAAGGAACTGTTAAACTGGGTAATTGTCATCTTTAAATGCTACTTTTAAAGAAATACAAAACAAAACTAGTGAAACATTAAAACACCATAGGGCTTCTTTATGTAACGTATTGAACCCACGACTTGTAATGGAGTTATTAGCACTTTTAATTAAGTAAAATAATAATACCACTGCATGTGCTACTCACCAGCAATGATGTTCCCGGATTGGGCCACCACCTTAAAGCCTTCAGCCACTTTATCCACACTGTCTCCGTGAGTCAGAAGGACCAGTTCCTCCTTCTGAAGGCCCCTGATCAAATAAACACACACTGATGTCAGAGGTACAATAACAACACATATACAGGGTTGTGAGATGCACTTTAATAATGTAACCCGTTACAATTACTAGTAGGGTTGCAAAGGGGCGGAAAGTCTCCGGTAAATTTCCATGGGAAGTTAAGCTGGGGAATTTTGGAAATATTCGATGCAAAATTAAACAAAAAAACATTGACATTTCAACAGATTTAAAAAAAAAAATAAAGAATTGAAAAATGTTTACAAATTATTTTATTGAACAATTATTTGTTTCATTGAAGAACGAAAACAGGAATGTTGAGTTAAATGTTACTCATCCCCCCCAACCCCACTCATTACAAAATGAACAAAAATGCACCCCCCATCCAAAAATCCCCACAAAGTCCCATTCAAAATGTTAAATGAAAAGAGCCCTTCTCCCTCCAAAAGATCCCTTTAAACATTTAAATCTTCCTTCAAGCAATCCTCTGCATTTTTTACCCTTTCAGTCAACGGGCTCTTCCTGGGCCTCATCAACATCACACTCTGAGTCTTCCTCTTCAGTGTCACTGTCCAGCCTTGTTGAGGATGGCTCTGTGTCAGGATCAAAGAGCCTTAGGTTTGCCCGAATGCCAACCAGTTTTTCCACTCTCACATTTGTGAGCCTGTTGCGAACCTTTGTTTGGTCTCAATAGCCAGGCAGCAAGCAGTGTGCTATGGCATGGATATTCAAGTGTACTTGAATGGCATCCGTTTGATTTAGTCAAGATTATGCTAAAATATACTTTCCCCAACTATATTTAAGTTCCCTATGAAGAGCCAACCTTCAGTTTTGAAAATTCCCAGTTTATTCCCATAAATTCCCGTTTATTCCAGTGGAAAGTTTTCATCTTGCATTTCCCCATAACGATGTTGTTTAACAACCGGCGTAAACGGACCTTCGCGCGCTATCAAGCAGTGAGCGTGCGATGTCCTGTTCAGATGACGTCCGACGACAATATAGAGGACCCATGTCGACACTGAAATGTCGAAGAAGTCCCGTGAAATGACTCTTGTAGGAGTGTTCGAAAGGATCGCCGGACATTTACTGTTGGGTCGCGTAGGAAGAGGTAGAGTAAAGAGATCGGTGGGCCGAAAGATTGTACAAACGTCAGTGTGATTGTACAATAAAAATACAGATACACAAGTGAGTCAAACACCCACACACAAACAAATGTCTACTACTTATTTGCAAAAGAGCACGTGTTTTTCTCAAATTCCCTTCTACCTCAGAAGGTCAGAACCTGACCTGTTGTGAAACAAGAGAGAAGCCATTTACCACAAAGAGTAAATAACAATGAATATAATTTTGCGTTGTTTGACATAAAACTACACCAAGGAAACCTAGGACGTTCAGGATTGGGTAGAAAGCCCACCAGGCGCCCCAGAATGTTTCATAATTGTTCAACTGATGTAGTGAAATCGCTTTTAGATTCCAATAATTTGCATAAGTTTGTCGTAAAAGGTTCCATAATGTAAACATCGAAAAAGTTATTCATATATTCAAACAGTTTCTCGCGAACATAAGATCGTCAGGACGACTTACATTAGTAACGCATCCAACATCACACTAAGACCAATCAAAAAATAAATACCGTAGGG